AGGGGCCAAGACAATAGTTGCCCTTTATTGAGCTTCCAGAGGGCAAGATCCAACATATTTTTTTGGCGATTCAAAAGAAATATACATAATGATATATTAATATATCGTTTGAAATGTGAAATGCAAATAAAATTGGAAGCTAGTTTATTATTATCATTTAAAATGCGCATGGATTTCTGCTTCTTTTCTATCATAGCTTTTCAATGGAAACATAATTACTTTGCCTATATTTTCTAGTGATAACCATCATATTATACCCAGAATGATATATTTTTATAATTTTTTATCTTTTTAGACTTTTAGGTTATTTAATTTTGGTTAATACAAACGCGTCTTGATTTTTACTTCTCTAAAAATATTGAAGAGATAGGAATTGACAATTAAAAAAGCATACTCTCTAAAAGGATCTTCCTGGTGGTTTTTATTCGTGACAATTTAATAATTTAGAAATTTCGATTTTTTATTTTTTTTAATTTCAAGAAGTTTGTATTGCCTTTTTTTATTAACAAGATTTCAGAGAAGCGAAATTAATTTTTTTTATAAATTTTGGACATTTCAGAATAAATTCTACACGCAAAATTTTATCCAAATAACATAAAAACAAATATTTTGAAGAAAAAACCAGATAATTATGATTTGTATGATATATGATATTTTTGCAGATTTTGATCAAACTATATTATTAGCATTGCTTTTGCTATTGTTTTAAATTGCACAATGAAATATATCAGACGGAAAATATATGAATGGCAAAGAGCAGGAGTGCCGGAACAATAATCGGTCGCCTCTCTATCGTCAATAAAACGAGAGAGATAAACAGAGAGAGTCGATTGAGAGAACACGCTGATGGTCATCTCGAATAAATGCGACAATAGCTGTTATTGCAAGGTCACAACAATGACACACGCCCTATCACGTTGGTGCTTCAGATCTGCACAGCACTCGTTTATTTTTTTCCACTCCCATTGCTAATTATTTTAAAATAGAATTTGCAGTCGGAATTTAAATATGGTGTAATGCGAATGAAGAAAAATGTCAATAATAATTTATTCGTCGTTTGACATTAGAAATGGCGCATGTGTTTGGCATGCGCTGATTTTCAGTCATAAGGGAGATTGAATAATGAATTAATTTATTTTAATCCTTACTTTTATAAATAAAATAAATAAATAAATAAGTAAAGAGAAAAAAGTCCAAACACGTTGGCAATTGAATTCCAAGTTCTAATTTTATTTACAAATTCTTTTTTACGTTTAGGAAATTGGACCAAAATATATTATTTATTTCTATTTTTATTATCTCGCGTACCAAATACATAAAAATGGAGCAAATTAAATTATCTTGATTGAAAAAAGGGAGAAAATATTTTGTTTTAATTTTATTCATATCAAATTACAAACTTCAAAACAAACTTGGAATCAAAATAATTTCAACAGTTAAATATTTTATTCTAGTATTACTGGATGAATTAAAATTAACATTTCTACAGTTTAAAATAATGCACTACTGCAAAAAATGAAGTTTGGAATTTTCTAAAATTTTGCTTTTAAAACCATGTATTTTACATTTCAGGTGAATTTAATTCCTAAACATCATAGTTAAAATAATGAAGCTAATTAATTCTTTAAAGTGATTAAACGTAAGCTTCACCGTAAAGGGTTTATCTGCTTATATTCTGCACGTTACGGTGCTCATAATGGGCAGAACGGTTTCGATGGCTTCGATGCCATCTGTTGGATTTTCCCGCGAGCACAGAATTCTTCGCCGCGGTAGCAGAGCCCTCTCGTAGTACCGCGATCGGTGGACCCTATTTTATTTGGCTAATTTTATTAACAATTTTTTCTCTCTGTCAACTTGTTAACGGATAATTGTAAAAAAATTTAAATTTTTTTTTTAATTTTAAGCCAATCAAATATGAATTCAAATAGTCCATATTATGATGAGTGCAAAAATGGGCAGTCATTTGAACACATTAATTGCCAGGAACTTACATAACAGAGTGCCTAAAAATTATTTATTCTCCAATCAATACATTGTCATTCACACCATCAATTCAGTAACGTAATACACAAAAATTAAAAAAAAAACTGTAAGTGAAGAACATGAGAAGAAATTCAACAATTTAATGTAAACAATGTGATATAAAAATTTTGACAAATGACAAATAATATTTAAGAATTTGCGGCTTTATTTAAGAATTTCACCATAAGTCGAGGGGAGCGAGGAATCCATTTTATTATTTCATTTTTAACGAAATTGATATTTTTAAGTTTTGACGCATTTATCTTGTATTTTTGGCTACATAAAACGCATCTCTTGTTAAGTAATATCAATTCTACTGTGTCCTCTAATTCAAAATATTTTGATAGTAAATCTTTTTAATAATTTTCCTCCTACAGGAAAGGGAAAGGTAAAATGCAGAATGCAAATAAAGGTTGCGTTGGTTAATTTTTCTATTTTAACGAACACATATTTATACAATAATGATGAGAGTTTATTCATATTTTACATGCCCCTTATCTTCAATTACGAATGCGGTGTGTTGTGAGCAAAAAGTATCAAGTTGTGCCTGCGACCGGCAAAAGAATGAAGGAAACCTAATACATAATTGGTTTTGCGACTCTCCAGCTATGGGCTGACCACCAGCAACCCCTAAATAGAAAAGCAGCGACCAACCCCCAGACCGATCGCCTCTTTGAAGCACAATACCAGACTTTTGGGGGCTTTCAATTAGTTGAGGAATGAGAATGTAAAATTCATTAAAATGATGCTTATAATTCTTTTATTTGAAACTCATTTTTTTCCGACTTAACTTAGAAAATTTTACAAATCAATTTACAACAATAATGCTTAGGATCATTTTCGAAACGAAAACTGTGGTAACCATAATTATGGGCTATTCAAAGATATATAAGAGCTATTTCTTTAATAATTTTCATGAATGATTTTCTGGTGAATAAAATAACCAGTCAATCTGTAAATTATAATCACATCGCTATCTAAGAGTGCATTTACGATTTCAGTTTAATAATTTTTTATAAGCTTTGACACTTATTTTTGCTACTATTGTTATTTGTTATTCCTTGCACCATCATTTAACAGGAAAACTATATTTTGACGTTAAACAGTTAAGATGTCAAAATAAAAAATTGCAACGATAAGTCGTTCACACAATAATATCCATGATTTATCTCCCCTATTTAATAAAATCATGAAAATAATGGTGAAAAACGAGAAGACTAAAAATTAAAATAACTAATTCGGAGAAAGTTTAATTTCACGTTTTCTCTTTCTTTCAATAATTGCAAATTAGATGGTGTTAATAATTAGTTTTAAAATTTAAATTGAATGGATATTTTTGTTACAAAATAGCTGGTAAATGTGCAAAATCCTATCAAAAATAAAAAAAATTCATGTTCTTTTTTTTTCAAACGAAATCTTAACGTGGAGCGAGAAAACCAATGCTCAAAAAACTAATTAAAATGTCCACATTCAATTTTTTTAGGCTCAATTCCAAATAGCTCAACTGGACCGATCCATTACACATTTTGCCCCTTTTTTTTTAATTGATTGTAGAAAATAATTGTTATTTTTCTTTTCTCGCCGAAGTCGACTTTGTTGTTGTTGCTGAACTTTTTGCGTCGCACGTGTTGCTGCCGATCAGCCGCAGAAACGAGGTTTAAAATTATGCAAAGTGTGTGTGCATGTCCTCGACAGGCCTGTGAAGCGGTTACCTCACATATGAATCTGCAAAAGGCTTCCAGCCGCGTTACGTGCGAGATGGGGTAAATTAACCAAGAGAGCATCAAAACTGTTCTCGCGATTTTTCTCCAACACTTGCAACAAACGAAAGCTGTTTACGCCATGGCAAATTTCCAAGCGTAACCGTCTTTTTAACACTTGCGCATACATAATCTTATCTTCTCCAATTTTTGGCTTTGTACGCTGCTGTGTAAGAAGAGAAGTCTCAAATTAACAAATAATCTTCATGCGTAATTGACGTGCTTGAAAATTTAAAAATAAATTAACATTGAAATTTCGTTGAAGTAAACAAAATTCCAAAATTTCAAGTCAATTTAAAACGAACTTTAAACAAACAAATAACGATTATTGATGCAATAAAACAATAGAAATTAATGAGTCAATATACCCAGAAATAATATTTTGTAAAATAATTCCAAATTTTTTTCATTAATTGCGTAATGTTTAGTTTTAAATTGTTTTGTCGCGCATGTCTACAGTTCGTTTGGTAGATATTTTATTCTGAGGCCAATACAGATAAAGGGCTTACATACTTTTCTTATATTAAAAATTTTGAAAATCAGGAAAATGGGTGATTTTTGTAATAAAATTTTATTATTGTTAACTAAAGAGGCAGTTGATTAAAATTGAAATTTTATTGAATGGCAAGTTTTTTTATTTCAATCTAAACCATTCTCAAAATTTTACCACACCGACACAAAGAGTGGAATTCTTTTACGACTCCAAGTTCTCATTCTAAAAGAAATTTAATTTTCAATTCAAAACTTCAACCCTCACTATCAACTATTTAGCCTTTTGCCAAAAATTATTTCTCAAGGTACCAATAATAAATTCAAATTTTCAGTAAACATTTTAACTTAAAAAATCATATTAAATTCCCGAATCTTTAAAATGACTTTTGTAAAAATTTGAAAGCAAAATTTGGATTGAAAAATTAAAAATTGTCTATTCAAGTAATCATGAATTATTGCAATTTAATAGTGGGGCCTGTTTTGCAATAATTTTTAGTCCAACCAAATGAGGTTGATTTGAATGAGAGCAGTTTTTCATTTACAATGAAATATATAAAATTTCACCCAACAGGAAATCGGTCTTGGCGAATTTCGGTTATTTTTCGGTGAGGTCGCCAAATTAGCATAATACATATTGTTACAAAACAGCACACCTTGGATGGACAGACAATCAAAAAAGTTTGATTCGTCTGCTCGCGGGGGTCGGTGGTAATTTTAATTAGCGAGGGAGTCCCGCGAGAAATGGGCGGAGCGGCGGCGCGCGATTGGCGTTGCTCGGCGGCACCACCTCTAGCCGCCCCCTGCGGGGCCCCGGCGGAGGCCGCAGTCCGCGAGGACCGATCGGACGCGATGGTCGCGCGCAACTTCTGTGGCCAGGAACTGCCACCGTACGTGCGCCTTCTGCAGGATGACCTGCTCGCCCTCGAGGACACGATGAAGCAACCCCAGCAGCAGGTCTACTACGACCTCAACGTCATGCAGGAGTGAGTCAAATTTTGACTAAAGACCTTTTTGGATTTCCATGACCGAGACCAGATCCTTGGCCGAAGGTCTCTCGCCAATTAGAAATTCTGATTTGTTTGACATTCGATTCGGTCTCGTGAATGATTTATAATGCGGCAAACTCTGTTGCCATCTCCACACTGTTACAGTGACATTTTCTTCTGAGACTTCATAGGTCACGAGCTGTTTTTTTTTTTTTTAATTAAAATTTATTGCCTTTGAATATTAAAAAAAGCAATCTTAGCTGAAACTATTGAAAATTTCATCAAATCGATTTTGGTATTCTAAAATTATCGCTGGAACTTAAAATCAAAATTTTGAACTTGCAATTAGGGGTAAATTTTCACAGGTAATAGGTTTATTTTAGCAAAAATTTGCAGTCAACAACATGCACATAAATACCTAAAAAATAAGTCAATGTTGCCCGTAGAACACGTCAAGTCATTATAATATTAAATAAAATAACATTATATCCGAAAAACTCAAACCGATCATAAAACAAATTGTCACCTTTTTTACAAGTTTTTTTTTTAAATCTCTGAATTGAATTGTCTTTGGACCTAAAACCGTTCAGGTAAACTATTTTCTCAGTGAAGATAACTTAGATTTTCCATATGATTTTCCAGATTCTCCGTTTATGTGAAGGTCTTTCGCAAATTTGAATTAACTTTTGTGACATCCATAGTGCAGTTGTCATAACGGTATCGTGAATGATATACAATTAAAGAATATTATTCTTCTCAAAGTGGCCTGAAGAACTCATTAAAATAAAAAAGTTCAAAATATAATAAATTGTTATAATTGTTCTAATAACTTTTAATGGAAAAGATTTCGTCAATGAAAAGATTTTATTAAATCATTATTATTTATTAATAATTTTTATCATAAATAATATTCGAAAAACCAAAGGTAAATTTGCTGTAAACCATCTTTAAAAGTAAAATTTTAATCTCAAACTGTGTCTGTTTGCACCAAAATATTAAATCACAAAAATTGGCCCAAATCGTTTCCTGGACATATAACGGCGCTACCGATGGCACTTAACAATCGAATTTAACCAAAACAGGTGAAACTAACAATAAGATGAAAGCTACTGATCTAGAAATAAAAAAAAACTTCACGCCGATTGCCAATAACGTTTGCAAACGAGTGTAAATTTTACACAACATAGTTCTTCTCTTGGATTGCGTATTTTTTTATTTTCATTTCCCCTTTTATCGACTGTATAGCAAATAAGTAAATCTCAGCAGTTAAAATTAAATTCACGCCTCATTCCAAAATGAAAAAATTTGAATTAAATTAGTTCTCAAATTAAGAGCCCAAAGGATTATTAAAAGCACCGCTGGTGTAACAAAACTTTCATGCAATGCAGGTTGCATCTTATTTGAGAGGCAGGCGCTTGGATATTTCAAGCGTTTTGTATAGCTCCAAACAATGCTTACATTGTTAGAGAAACAATTTGGACAAATCAACAACAATAATAACAAATAATAAAAGAATAATAAAACTTCACAGTGTTAATATAATGTTTTTGGTGCATTGAAGTGATAAATCTTGTGAAAATTACACTGTAAATAATATACATTGCTTTATCTCGGGAAAAAATTGATAATAATCGCGTAAATTGGATTTTTTTTTTGGCATATTAATTTGATATTTTGTAATGAGGGTAGCAGTTGATCTGGTTGCCTTCATATCTCTGCAAGAGAAAATCTTATTTGTGCTCCAGAAACCAAATGCAAGTTAATCAGTTCAAATTTTAAATATTGGCATGTTGATAAAATACATTACATCGTGGCGCCGTCTCACAAGTCAATAAAGAATAATAATATTATTATTATTATTTAAATTATTAAATGTACTGTGCGAGAAAATTTAGATTCCGACCATGGAGTGCCTTAAACTCATTCAAATAATACAAGAATTTTTAAATTTTCTTACCAAAACTCCGAGCATATTGTGCTGCGATTATGGAATCTTTTACAGCCTGAATTAAAAAAAGAATTAAATTAAAAACTGAAGTGAATTACAAAATCTAAAAATTATTCATGTCGATGAACAGAATCACATTTTTACTCAAAAACTTGTATGTAACTCATTGTGTGCATGACGTACAAAAAAAAAAAAAATTGTTAAGCATTTTGTTCTTGTCAGTCAATATGAGCACCAAGCTTTCAAGCTTGGCTGGAGTTGTACTATTTGAACCTTATATATTGTCTATAAAAAAGAAGTTTTTTGCAGATAATATTTTTGTTTAGTAATTATATGATTTAAAACTATACTAAATTAAGTTGTCTTTAACCAACTTCCAATCCTTTTATACTCACTTTAGACTATCAATCTCACAACTGTTCTATTCATGCTGAAATATATTCATATTATTTGAAATGATCCTCAGTTGAAGCCTATGTAGTTTCTATTTTAACTTAAGAGATTGGCAACGATTTAATCAGTGAAGGCCGATCTAAATCAGTCGTGCTCCACTTGCTGCCCTTTTTTGTGCCATTTTTCAACGAGGAAAACAATAAATATGCGTGAGTTGTTTCAAAACGAACGGCAGATATCTGTTGGTGATCGATTTTAAATCACTTTAATATAATGGGTCTCTCATTCTTTGAAAGAGCGCCTTTTTCTGCTCGGCAGCCGCACAATAGCGCGGATGAATACCTGATGCTGTCACTGGCAGCCCTAGGTGACGTCAGTCGCAGGTGCTAATTATTACACATGAGCAGCCACCTAAGCCCCGGCGGCCGGCGACCCCTTTACCCCTATGCACCCCCAAATCCTCAGTATGATGCACAGTCCGAAATCCTCCTCCGAATTGTAATGTTAACGTCAACTACCTTAGTTGCCAAGTTTCATGAATGGTTCCTAGGGAAAAACGCCAATTTCACACAAACAAATATAAAGAGAAAAACCGAAGAATAAAAATGTTTAAAAAATTCATGAAAAGATGAAGCAACTGAGTGATTGTGCTATTAAATGTCGGCAATTAAATTTATCTATATATTTACCTAATTGAATTAAAAATTTTGCAAAGAAAAATGTTCCAAACATTTCTTTTCAAACCATTCCAATTCAATCAAAGGCTAAGAAAATACTTTTAGATGTTTCATTACAAGCAAAAAGAGATTTTATTTTCAATTTTCTTTGAACAGTTGAAAAAACCTAATGAACGGTACAATTAAGGTTTAAAATGGAGTGTCGTAAATTTGTCAGGGCAAAATATTATTTTTTATGGTTGAATTTATTCTCCATTCGGATAAACAAAAGTATTGTGTATATGTTTCTTTTTCTACCATTTCCATTTTAAACTCGACCAAGTTGCAAATGGGTGAATTAGGACAAATATATTTGAAATATTGCATCATAATACAGCATAATATAAGCGATGCAATAAAACACAATTTTTAATCTTTTTCGCGTACAGCTCATTTCATATTTCTTTCTGTAAATCAATCAATATCCCAAATATTAACTTAATTTGTTTGAAGAAGTTGACACTCGAGGAGATGATCATAGAAATGAAGCGATCGGGCTTTTCCTCGTTGCAGAAAATTGTTTTTATTCAAAAATGATTTCTTGTGTTATGATTCTTGTATTAGTCAGCGAGCAGCGCGTTTGCTATGAAATAGGGTCGCAAACCGTGACCGAAACTGGTAGAGCCATTTTTTTTTTAATATGAAAACAATTTTCTGCAACGAGGAAAGGCCCGATCGCTTCATTTCCATTAACTTAATATTTAACCTCTGATCTGACGAAATTTAATAATGAAAGCTTATTTTTTTGTATTATATTATTTATTTTATTTTATACTCAATCGCATTTTAGGACTTAGCAACAATTAAAAGCATGAATGAATTGTTTACAAAAAGAATAAATGATAATAATAAGATCAAAATAAGCTTTTTTATTTTATTATTTTTTTAGCGTTAGGCCAAGACATATTCTTGTCAGTGCAGAAGGCACAACCCATTTTAATTTTTCTTTTTAATAATCTAGTGAAAACGTCACTTAAGTGGGCAAATGTAAAGTCCTAGAAAAGAAAAAAGTTTGTAAATTGAGTGAAAACATAAGAAACAGAAGAAATTGTTGGAAAGTGATAAAATAATTTTACGATTCAATAGAATATTTCTCCAAATTCTGAAAAAAATCAACGTAAAACCTGGCATTTTATTTGAAATTTTAGAATAATAAGTAGCTTTATAGGGATTTGATGAAATTAATTAAGATTACTTCAATTAATTCAATGTTATGTTATAATCCAATTTTTTTTGCTATTATGATTTGGAAAAATTTACCTTATATATTTACTAATACACATCAAAATAATTATATTATTTTTATGCTTGCAGAAATTTACTGAATTTACACACGAGGAGACAATCTCGGAATATTAAATGCGGTGTTAATTCTGCCAGATTTTAATTTTAATGCCAACTCATATTTCATCCATTCAATTTTTTCACTGTGAAATGATTTCAATGACAACAAGCGAGACACGAGTCGTTGGTGAACTACACACAGAATTCAAAATGTGTGTCTATACGTCACGGCGGTGAATTGCAAACGGAGCATATTTTCCACGTCCGCCGCATGCACGTTAGCTTTTACGTCCTTGCCGTGTCAACTCAGTCTGCAAAGCGGAGAGGCTCATTATTCGTCTAAGAAGCAAATGAAAAAAAAATTATTCGCGCCCGAACAATTAAACAACAGATCTTTGCAAATTTTTCAAAACACGTGAGACTGAAACCAAGTTGATTTTTTTCGTTTTTCCTGAATATTTTTTATCAATTTTTTTATATATTTGATTTTGAATTATTTTAATTTTGAATAGTTATTAATAACGTGCTCCTTGCCCTCTATGAAAATCAGCGATGGCAGAAATTAATAACAATTTAAATTTACTGCATTAGAATCTGAATTGCTAGAGAGGCCTTTTCACACAAAATAGACTGTTTTAAATATAATTTGAGCCCAAAACTATCGAATATTTTTGTAAACTGCTTATTTAATTCGTGATGTCAAATTTGTTCCCGCATTAATAGTTGTTATGTTTTCTTGTCATTTTCCAGAAGTTCTTGTTCAAACTCGATGTACCTGGGGGCGGAAATCGGAGCCACACACCATTCTGTAGGTGGCGTCGCCGCGTCACAGCACCTGACCGCCGCCCCCAACCTGATGCCCATGGAACCGCAGCAGGCAGACACGGTAACGTCCAGTCAACGCCACCCGCACCACCACAACCACCACTCGGCCATGACCCCGTCCAGAAAACGAAAAGCCTCCTTCACGTGAGTTCCCACTTTGGCTTCCTATAAATTTTTTGTTTTTACGCCAAGTCTCGATTTGAAATGCTGTAGTCACCACTTAAAATATTGTGGAAATATTGGGGAAAAAAGAACTTCTTTGATTAAAATCTCACATAATAAAAATGAGTTTTTTTTTTATTTGTAGGATCTTAACATTGATCATTTCCAACTTTCATGAGGTTGATTTATTTTGAGCCAATTTTATTTTTTGGAGGAGGGTAAATTTTTCAAAAATAAACTATACGGCTTTTAGGTGCTTACAGTGGGAGCGTGCGACGAGAAATGATAGTTACTTACTTTTTGAATGTAAAATAGTAATGGGGGAAAAAATGAGTTACAATAATTTTTTATTTTTTTTTAATTTTTTTTTTTATTTTGCGGTCAGGCCAAGACAAAGTCTTGTCGGCTTGTGCCCTTTATTGGTGGTACAGAAGGCACCACCCAATTTTTTTTTTTATTATTTTTGGGTTCAACTTTATTTAAAAAATCATCAATTGTAATTGTAATCATAATTTGTTATTATTGTCTATTTCTCGCAAATAGAATCAGCACGCAAGAAAAGTGTCAAAAAACCCTCTAAAACCCCCCACGAATGGCAAGAAGCTATACTTTTGAATGTTCTTAAGGACTTCAAATTTCACCTATCCAGACCTAATATACCTAATATAAAAATTTTCTCAGATTCATCACATTCAAATTTTAACTCGAATTATTTTTTAAATATTCAAATTTTTTATTTGTTACCAAATTGATTTTGTGAATTATCTTGCTAAACACTGAAAAATATTTTTAAATTTTTCCCTGGAATTTTATTTTCGTTTTGCAGTAGAATTTTTTTCCGATTTTCATGAGCGCTATTTATTCTTAACCGCATATAAAAATGAGCGTTAAACTTGCAGCCACGTGCATAAATATATTGAAGAAAATGAATCAAGTTAATTAAAGTTACATTACTTGTAATATGTGGAAGGAGTATTTGGATTTTTGATCCAGTTACTTTGCGTAGAAGGGGCACCCGTTCAAGTGTCTGCACCCTCGATATGAATCTGCACCGCAAATTTAGTGCGTTGGCGACGAATAAACAATTTCACACACTCAAGGTTTCCCGCCGCAACAAGGGACGTGCGTCTTTGAAGTCGCGACTTGATTTGATTATCGGCGCAGCTCGATTTCGATTACGTATTAATTAACCGAGTTAATAAGTGCGAGAAACTAATTAGGAGAGGCAGCGCAGTAATAATAACACGGCGGCTCAAAGGATCGATCACTGCTTGTTGATTTCATAATTCTTATTTTCTTCGTTAATTAATTTGTAAATTTATCCAAACTCGTCGTTAAGAGAGAAATTTTCTGCAATAAAAGCTCGTTTTTAATTAAAATACATTGATTCCTACACTGATAAGAAAGTAATTCATTATAATTTATTCTCAAAACCTGTCACCTGCCAGGAATGTAAATGTTAGTCTTTTGCTAAGAAGTATGCAAATTATTTTGAAATATTTTTAATTTATTAGTTAAAAAATTGCCAACGAACCCATTTTTATCCGCAAAATTGTAGTTCATGATTAAATTCAATTCCTCTATTCACTCACATGTCGGTTAAACGAATATTGAAACAAAACACAAAAATTTTTATTGTCCAATTTCTCCGTTTCTGTAAAACTGATGATTTAATTGTAATAATTTAATTATTATTATTATTGCTTGCTAGTCCACATTGTTACATTATAATTTATCGTTATAAATTACATTTGAAATGAAGAAAGTCGGGCTTGTCCTTGTTGTAAAAATTTTTGTTTATATTAAAAACCAAAACGGCTCTACCAGTTTCAGTCACGGTCTGCGACCCTATTGACCGTGACCGAAACTGGTAGAGCCGTTTTGTTTTTTAATATAAACAAGTTTTTACAACGAGGATAAGCCCGACTATCTTCATTTCCCTGATCATCTCCTGGAGTGTCAACTTCTTCAAACAAATAAATAATAAATTATAAATATCTTATATGATTTCTATGCTAACCGGAAGAAAAAGTTAATTTTTTAATTTTATTCAAAAGGAAGAAAGATGCAAATTCCGTTTTGTTGCGCAAACGAGATGATCCGGGTTGGATGCATTTTGTCAGTTGTACATAATAATGATGGCCTGTATGTACGGATAATCATATCATGACGTTGCTTGGAATTTCAATTTTCTCCTGAGATTCTTCGCTCTCCACTGTCGCACGCATAATTTTGCACTTCAATATACCATTGATGCAAAAGTCAGTGCTGCATCAATTTGGAGAGGGAAGATGAATTATTCATCGGAAAGAAGGTAATGCACCGAGTGTGACCTTGTTTTTAAAATGACTGCCGAGAGTTTCAAACTAAAGTTAATTTCACTGCATTGCCCAAGAGTACGTAATGAAGCGGAAATGAATTGATGCACTGATAGGACAGAAACGCACGATATTCCCTTTGCATTTTAATGGAAAGAAACTAAAATTAACAGTGTGCCACACTAAATTCAAAACAGAAATGGCTTGAATTAATCAAAGAGGCTATAAATTCACATAAAACATAAGACAGAGCCTTTCATGTTTAATAATCTAATCTAATTTTTGAATGGAAATAACCAATAAATCATAAATTTAGAAAACAAGAATTATCGTTAAAAATATTCATTTGTTGCCTTCCATTATTTTAAGTTTTATTGATTATTTGTTTGAATATTTTACATCAAAAGAATAACTATTGTTTATCACGAAGGCACCACTAATAGAAAAATTTGGCTAAAAATTCCGAATTGTTTAGTGACTTGTAAATTTTTACAGCTCAATTAGATTTTACTTGTTATATTTATTTTATACATTTCATTTGACAAATTTAAAAAATCGATCCAAATACCAATTCTTAAAAATAATGTTATCCCTTTCAGCATTAAATTATTATATTATTAATTTAAAAGTTACGTTAACTGATGCTGTTAAAATTTTAGCAATTTAAATCCAAGAAACTAAGAACAAAAATTGGTATTGTTAGTTTTCAAATTCACAATTAAAACAGTATCTATTTAAAAAATAAACAATTTTACTTTTTACCATCTGAGAAAAACATTGAATAAGAATTTAAATTTCTTAAAATTTATAATTTATTACATTGTGTGTGTTTTTATATTTTTTTAGGGATGCGAGCGATGCGGACGATGATTTGCTGGGTGACGAGGCCGGGGGCAAAATGCCGCGCAGTGCCGAGGACAGCTGCAAGAAGTGAGTTCGGCGTACTCTGATTGCATAACGCGTTCACCATTTCTAATCCATTTATATACACGTATTTTTAACCCCCGTCTCGGTGATCGGATTATGAACAAGTGTGACATCACTCGGTCCGTGGCCAAGGGGAAGCACCCCAAGGGCAACCAAAGAGACACACAAAAGGAAGCTCTTGTTGGCGCCAATAATGCTATTCGTGCTGCGGCCAAATTTTTTCTACGAGTTTTTGCGGCCGCCCTTGAGCTCTCACTAATTTGTTGTCATCGGATGGGGTGGCATATTTTTTTTTCGGCAAGTCGAAAATATGTTAAAAAATAAGTCGCACAGAATACAATAGATCTTTTATTTCATTAAATTATCAACGCATTTTCACAATTATACGTCATTTAACTTAATTAATACTTAGACAATTTTCCACTCAAAAACTCTTTCATGTTATAGAACTGATATTTGTATTCACTTTCTCTTATTTTATAGATAAATTCAGATTTATCTTCAATCATTTTAACGTTTACTGGAAGCGAGTTTAATATTCTAGCATTAATTACTATTGGATTTTGGTCAAGACTAAAAGTGATCATCAATCTCAAATTCAATTCGTTTATTCTCTCACAACAGGTCAAAGATTATTTGGGAAAACTCTCATTGAGAGAATTGGCAGACAGCCCTAGAAAACAACTTCGTAAAACTCATAAGCTTAACTTGAAAGCAAAAGTATTTCCAAATTAAACCTACTTGCCGAACTGGAGCCGAAAAGGGGAAAAAATTTATCAACGAGTCTCATATTCCTTACATGCAATATTTAAATTGAGGAACCGTATATTTTTTTTAACGCAGCAGCAGGGAATTCCACTGAATTGCGATTCGTGAAGAAAAAGTTGCCCGATCTCTGCGCGCACTTTTTGCAGAATTAAACGGTGCTCGCCGCCACTATTTTTATATTCAGAAATAACGCTGTAAATTTAATACCGCAACATTAACCATTATTTTTTAATTGTTGTATGGTTTCAATTACCGTTTCTTCCGCCGTTAGAAAGGGCTCATAATGATTCATTCAATTTTCGCATAATTTCAATTTACTTTCTTTTTTAATCAAAGTGGGATTTTTTTCTTTCTTTCTTTCTTAACAGACAAAACCACAGTGAAATCGAGAAGAGACGGCGCGACAAAATGAACACGTACATCACAGAACTGTCCAAAATGGTGCCCATGTGTCACGCCATGTCCAGAAAGCTAGACAAGCTGACCGTCCTGCGGATGGCCGTGCAGCACCTTAAGACCATCCGCGGCGCCGTCCACTCGTACACCGAGGGACACTACAAACCGGCTTTCCTCACCGACGAGGAACTCAAGCACCTCATCCTCCAGGTAATAATAAAATTTGAATTCTGCGGAGAGTTTAAAATGAGACGATTTCAATGATAAGTTGTAAATTTTCTTTCTGTGTTTAATAATTCTCTGATCTCAGATCTCAGAATTCTATAATGATAGTTCCTTCTGAAAGGAATTTTAAAATTCTTTGCAATTCCGCAAATTTTCATTTCTACAAATAATATTTGTTCAAAATTAAACAATTAAATTTAAAAAAGGTACATTTTTGACCTGATATTAACGCTCTCATCATCTAATACCATTTTGTGTGAACATAAAATTGAGATTTTTTTTTTTAATTTTTAGGCCGCCGAAGGTTTTCTATTTGTTGTGGGCTGCGACCGAGGACGAATTTTGTACGTGTCAGAATCAGTATCGCAGGTGCTAAACTACTCTCAGGGTGACCTGCTGGGTCAGAGCTGGTTTGACATTTTGCACCCAAAGGACGTGGCCAAGGTCAAGGAGCAACTGTCCAGCTCCGACCTCAGCCCGCGAGAGAGACTGATTGATGCCAAAAGTAATAATTTTTCAAGATTTTTTGAGTGGAAATAATTTGAAAAAAAAAATCAAACTTCCAGCTATGCTACCTGTGAAGACGGACATGCCGCAGGGGGTGTCCAGACTGTGTCCAGGCGCCCGACGGTCCTTTTTCTGTCGGATGAAGTGCAAGGCCAGCAGCCAAGTCAAGGAGGAAGTGGACACGACGTCCAACGGCAACTCTAATCCGGCCTGCCACAGAAGAAAAAAGTCGCAGAATTCAGGCAAGAATAAATAAATTATAAATATCAATTTTTACTTCAAATTATTGACAAAAAATTTTAATTTTTTAATTTGCAGAGCGTTTATGCTCTAGTAAAGATTTGGGTGAGTAAAACTTCAGAAAAAAATGGGAATTTTATTTTAAAAAATTAAACAGATGAAGCTGGAAAAATTATCAGACGACGTGGTGAGATAAATTAAATAAAATTTTATTTAATTTTGTATTGAAATAATTTTTAAATATAATTCTTAAAATGAAAATATAGGCTTATTATCTCAAGTTGTTTAAACCAACGTCTAAAGGAGTCTAATCTTTAAAAATTTTTCATATTTTATACCAAAATCCTCAATAAAAATCATTGCGTTATAGAAACGGCCGGTCTTTTTTTGTGTGTAAAACTGTAAACAATCTCCTTTGAATAGTTCAAATAGTTGAAATAGAAAACGCATTTTTCATCAAATAATAACAATAGAAAAGTTCTCTAGTTTTGTTTTTCTTTGATTTAAAAATTATTTTTTATTAAATACTGTATCTGATGAATTGTAAGATTTGAAATCAATTATTATTTATTTTTAAATGAATTACCCATGAAATTTTGTATTTAATTGCATTCTGCATGTGCAGATCGGCGCTACAGCGTGATCCAATGCACGGGATACCTGAAATCGTGGGCGCCGGCCAAGATGGGTCTTGAGGAGCCGGACAGCGAGGACGGCGAGTCAGCGAGCCACCTGTCGTGCCTGGTGGCCGTCGGCCGCATCCAGCCGCCTCCGCCGTCCGTCGGCCACCACCCGAATCCGTCGCAGGCGCCGCCCAACCTGCGCAGCATCGAGTTTGTGTCGCGACACGCGCTCGATGGCAAGTTCCTCTTCGTCGACCAAAGGGCCACCCTGGTGCTGGGCTTCCTGCCGCAGGAGCTGCTCGGCACCAGCATGTACGAGTACTACTGTCCCGACGACGTGTCCCACCTCGCTGAGGCGCACAAGGCCGCCCTCCAGTCGACCGACCGCGTCACCACGCAAGTAAGTCCAAATTCACAATTCTGATTAAAGTAAATAGTAGTTTATGATTAAGTAATTTTAAAATATTATTCGGTTTTGAATTCAATGAATGAAAAATAAATTTTTTTTAATATCTTGATTATTTAATTATTTATTAATTAATTTTTTTATTAAAAAAAAAATTTTGCTGACAAATTGAAGGAAAAATTTTATGATACCCAAAAGGGCCATTTGGGTAAAATTAATTTCTGCTAATTTTTCAATTTTTATTTGTTCCTTTTGAGGTTTATTGTTCTTATTACGCTTACAAAATCATGATAGAATGTAAACCTCATTTGTATATCATGTAATTGGGTCTTTAAAATGAAATATTGCTGACAGTACCACTCAAAGGATCAGATTAAATAATACTTATTTTTTGTGTGTTAAAATTTTTTGAGAATTAAATTTATTGAAAACTCCCAGAATCGATCCATGAACGTGTTTGACCTTGTGGATTATTATATTAATTTTTTATTTATGCAAATCATTTGAATTTTATTTTAGGGTTACAGGTTCCGTAGTAAGGATGGATCTTACGTTCGCATGCAGAGTGAGTGGCGGGCCTTTAGCAATCCGTGGACCAGAGACGTTGAGTACCTGGTGGCCAAGAACTGTCTGCTGCGGATTACAAACGGTCAGCAACCAGAGCAGCAGCAACTTACGCCACTCGTTCCTGCTAATCTGGACAACTTTTTCTGCGATAACATAGGAAAAAGTATGAAAATATTTTCATGTTTGGACTGAAATGATAAGTTATTAATTTCATTAAAATATCTGATCTGAATCATTCGATTTTAAGGAAAAAAAATTTTTGTAGCGAACGGAAGTCCAGGCGGTCGGGAAATCACACGCGTCATAAGTTCGCACGTGGAAGCAAGTAAAATTGGCCGGCAAATTGCAGAGGAGGCGCTGGACACTCGACGCAGAACGGTGCCTTCAGAATCGCCCTCCATCAGCAACTCGCCGTCATCGCCTGGATTTGAACTTGGCCAAAGCTCACTACAGGTACACATGAGACAGTAATCCGAAAAAAAGATCGGCTGCAGAATATGAAAAAAATCAAAAAAATGAAACATTTCATGTCATGTTTTGAATTTCACTGAAAACCATTTTACTTTCGCAAAAAGTAGCTAATGTAGAAATTAAATTTGATTTTTTTTAATGGTTTTTCTTGAATGAACCTAAAAATGAAAAATGATTGTCAAAATATTTAGACTGATGCTTGACAAGATTTTTTGTTAACACTAATAAAATTACTAAAAATCTTATAGCGGAAAATATCTTACTCCTCTTAAGAGAATTTGTAAAAATTAAGTCTTTTCTTTATTTTGTTTCTGAAATCGATAAATTGCTTAATTACTTTTTCATTTAATATCAGACCAAATTTTGCAGTTGATTGGCAACGGTGGTGAAAGTTACCAACGGAACAATGCCCTGACGCGGCAGAGCAGTCACTCGGTGACGCTGTGCAACGAGGAGAAGGACGAAGAGGAGCTTCTGCTCCGCGACATGATGGCGCCCTCAGCCACCGTTGTGGTTCCCCAAGCGTCACCACCCAACGGCCAGTCGCCCTCGGCCAACTCAACCACAACGGCCACCCCTCCGCAGCACCACAGCAATGCGTCCAACGACGGAAACGACGAGGCGGCCATGGCTGTCATCATGTCGCTGCTGGAGGCCGACGCCGGACTCGGCGGACCCGTCGACTTCTCCGGCCTTCCGTGGCCACTTCCATGAGAGACGATTACAAAAAGTGAACAGCTAAATTAATGATCAAAAATATTTTGTGTTTAGAGACAGATTGGCATTGTGATAATTGCTTGATTTTTTTCACTCGCATGATGATGTTTATTTTGGTAAATTTAAATACTTTACAACACAATATAAATATAATAAATTTATAAATATGTCTGATCTCATAGGCAGTTCAATATGTATGTATGGAAATCCAAATTGTAAGTGCGTGGCTTCAAAGCCTCAACTGGATAGCACAAAAAAGGCCACACAGAATTATATTAATTTGAAACTTGCTGTTATTATGTAAATCTGTGCAAATAAAATCTGGTTGCCAGAAACTCTTAAACTTAGCATTAGCATATTCATTTATTTATGTTTGAGAGGAAAAGAAATCTTTAAATCAATTCATCTCCATTTTCTCTGGTTTTCTCTGCAGTTGGATTACTGGGATTAGGCGGAGAACTCCTGCTGCGGGTTACTGAGACCACTGAGCAGACAGCATATTGTCGGAACCATAGGTGATCTTTAGTTAGTCCTTCTGGAAGAAATGACCGTAAATTATTAGATTTTTTGAAATTTTTTTAAATCAGGCAATACATATGTGAAAATGCTTTTCGAAGCGAGTACGAAGACTGATTTTTTCGATAATTGTTGTATTATCGGCACGCAGAACATGTATTATTTAAAAAATTTTGAAAATTAAAAATATTGTAGCATATACATATTAATACATTGTTTACATTCAATTGTTAATACAATTCATTTGAAAAGGAAGCAATTGTAAGTAAAAACCGTGCCTACTCTACTAGAATTCATTTTCTAAATTTCATTTTATTTTCATATCATCATCTAAACTAATCGCTCACAGCAGTTCAGCTGGAGATGTCGGCGGAGGCACGTGCAATAATTAAAATTACACATAAACGTACCTTAAGATGGTGCGCTCAGACAAGGTGAAACCGAGACCTGTCAATAATCCTAAAACATTAATTAAGTCAAAATATAGGAATAAATTTTAACGATATCAGTAAAACAGCGATTTAATTAACGTACAATAATTCAAAATATTGGACTAATTCTGATGATAAGAGTAAAAGAGCGAATGCTTTGTTCGTAGTCCTTGTGTTTGAAAGTATTGTTTTAGACGAGGCGGAACCAAGACCTGATAATAATCCTGAAAAATTAAATTAGTCAAAATATTGGACTACATTTGACGATATCACTAAAACAGCGATAAAATAAACGTACAATAATTCAAAATATTGGACTAATTCTGATGATAAGAGTAAAAGAGCGAATGCTTTGTTCGTAGTCCTTATATTTGAAAGTATTGTTTTAGACGAGGCGGAACCTAGACCTGATAATAATCCTGAAACATTAAATTAGTCAAAATATTGGACTACATTTGACGATATCACTAAAACAGCAATAAAATAAACGTACAATAATTCAAAATATTGGACTAATTCTGATGATAAGAGTAAAAGAGCGAATGCTTTGTTCGTAGTCCTTGTATTTGAAAGTATTGTTTTAGACGAGGCGGAACCTAGACCTGATAATAATCCTGAAACATTAAATTTGTCAAAATATTGAACTACATTTGACGTTATCAGTAAAACAGCGATAAAATAAACATACAACAATTCAAAATATTGGACTTATTCTAATGATAAGAGTAAAAGAGCGAATGCTTTGTTCGTAGTCCTTATATTTGAAAGTATTGTTTTAGACGAGGCGGAACCTAGACCTGATAATAATCCTGAAACATTAAATTTGTCAAAATATTGGACTACATTTGACGATATCACTAAAACAGCGATAAAATAAACGTACAATAATTCAAAATATTGGACTAATTCTGATGATAAGAGTAAAAGAGCGAATGCTTTGTTCGTAGTCCTTGTATTTGAAAGTATTGTTTTAGACGAGGCGGAACCTAGACCTGATAATAATCCTGAAACATTAAATTTGTCAAAATATTGAACTACATTTGACGTTATCAGTAAAACAGCGATAAAATAAACATACAACAATTCAAAATATTGGACTAATTCTGATGATAAGAGTAAAAGAGCGAATGCTTTGTTCGTAGTCCTTATATTTGAAAGTATTGTTTTAGACGAGGCGGAACCTAGACCTGATAATAATCCTGAAACATTAAATTAATCAAAATATTGGACTACATTTGACGATATCACTAAAACAGCGATAAAATAAACGTACAATAATTCAAAATATTGGACTAATTCTGATGATAAGAGTAAAAGAGCGAATGCTTTGTTCGTAGTCCTTGTATTTGAAAGTATTGTTTTAGACGAGGCGGAACCTAGACCTGATAATAATCCTGAAACATTAAATTTGTCAAAATATTGGACTACATTTGACGATATCACTAAAACAGCGATAAAATAAACGTACAATAATTCAAAATATTGGACTAATTCTGATGATAAGAGTAAAAGAGCGAATGCTTTGCTCGTAGTCCTTGTGTTTGAAAGTAATGTTTTAGACGAGGCGGAACCTAGACCTGATAATAATCCTGAAACATTAAATTTGTCAAAATATTGGACTACATTTGACGATATCACTAAAACAGCAATAAAATAAACGTACAATAATTCAAAATATTGGACTAATTCTGATGATAAGAGTAAAAGAGCGAATGCTTTGTTCGTAGTCCTTGTATTTGAAAGTATTGTTTTAGACGAGGCGGAACCTAGACCTGATAATAATCCTGAAACATTAAATTTGTCAAAATATTGAACTACATTTGACGTTATCAGTATGCGGGGACATTTGATATATTTGTATATATTTCCAATAGATGTCACCCTATGTAAATCCTATTCCTTGATATTAATAAAGCAGAGAGTTCAGTATCTCCTAAACCGTTCAAGCACTGAATATTATTTTACGCCGTGTCCTTCGGGGTTGATAAAATAACAGTATAAGACTTGAGGGTTGGAATATTCAGTGGGGGGCTAATCGGCAACAGACCGAGGTAGCCGTAAGTGTTGATAGGGTAGTTATTAAGAGAGGTAATTTACGGAAAAGAGAAATATGAAATCAAGCCTTATGCGAATCATTGACCTGTAGAACCCGACATCAAAGACCAAGCGGTATCACTTTCAGGCTGGCTATTGACACTACCTGTCCCCTAGCAGGTGTAACGCCAGTCCCGAATAAAGGTCGGTACCCTCAGAGGATATTCCCATCCTCTGGGACTAAAAGAATACCGCAATTGGGGGCCTGAACGCTGGTCTGAGGGCAAGGTTAATGCCATTTGGCACAAAACAATAATAGAGATGAAAATCAAGATGGCAGAGTAAAAAATTTTTTCCATTTTGGTATATGACCTTGAATAAAAATGAACCCACAAACAACCCGCTTAAACAGATCAAGAGGGTCGCTTGATGTTGGCCGCGGCCGAGGTCAGCAACAAGAAGCACCCGGTTATCAGGACGAAGCTATCCGAGTACAGCAAGGAACTCAGGGTTACTCCGGTGACCTTGAGGCAACTTTGACGGCTAGAAATGATTTGATGCTGTTCAGTAGTCGGGAAAATTTGTTGCAAGGCGGAGACGCAGCACGTCTCTCGCAGCATTTTGTACCTTACTCGAGTTCCCAACCTTTCGCAGGTATGGCGAATTGGCAAAGTAAAGAGAGAGTCACAGGTGAGCTTCCGGGTCTCCCTTTGGCGGCGAGCACAGCACATCACAGTCCGGAGCAAACAGATGGACAGACCCAGATGATAAATAAAAGTTTAAATCTAATTCAGGCATAAGACATTCACTGGGAAAAACTAACTGAGAAAGAAACAGAGTTTTGGTTAGGATTTTTTAATAAGAAAGAAGCAACAAAATCTGAAAAACAAATGCAAATACAAGAGATTAGTAGACAAGTCAAGCAGGATAAATTGCATTTTGAGCTACAAAAGAAATTGAATACAGTTAGAGAGAATAATGCTACAAGGGCAGATAGTTTACTGAAGGACTGGGACTCAATTCAGTCTCCGGACAAAATCACTCAAGTAGAAATAGTAGATGAGACACAAGATATACTAAGCATGGTTGAAAGCATGGAATTTAGTGAGAGGGAAAAGTCAAGCTCTCGAGACCAACAATCTGGTGTTAATTTAAGGCAGGAGTTGTCCGATGCCGAAAAGGTAGAAAAATACAGAGAACAACAACAACAGATACAGCAACAGCAACAGCAAAGTCAGCAGCAGTACAGCAACAATTTACAAGGAGCAGCAGGAGGAGAAAAACTAGCACATGCAAATGATTCATATCAGAGTTTTGAAAAAGAGTTGTTTGAGTTGAGAGATTGGGCTAAAGGTCAGTTAGATATAGCTCATTCATTAGAACCTGGTTGTGAGCAACAAAGGCAAATGTTAGTTCTGATTAGAGAAACAGTAGCAAGACAGCAAAATTTGATTATGGAGAAAATAAAGGAAAGAGATTTACGAAACAAAAATAGACAGAGTGGAATTACAGAGGCAGAATTGCATGCTTGGGAAAAACAACAAAATAGATCAGAAACAGGCACAAAGAAAAAAGTAGTCGAAGATTCACGAGGTCAAAGATCTTTCTTGCAAGGCTCACAAACACAACATCAGGTACAACACAACAGGGAAGTGGCTGGCAGAGACCGAAGAATATCGCGTGTCTCAATGGAGTTAGAACAGTCAGAGTGTGGAGAACAAGGAGATGATCGTTCAGGTAGTTCGTCTTGGTACGACATGCTGGACAGACCTCCGAGTGCTCACCTTGAAAGAGAAAAGACGAATCAGAATTTAGCAGGAGAAATAGAATTAGAGGCAGCGAATCGCAAATTCTTAGAAATGGAGCAAGCAATGAAAGCTATGCAAATTGAACAAGCTAAATTAAAACGACAAGCTCAAGAGTATGCTGAAAAACAAAAGTGGGAAATGCAGGAGTTTGAAAAACAAAAAAGAGATTGGTTTCTAGAGAGGGAAAAATTAGAGCAAAAAGAGCAGGCTCCACCAAAAGTGGAAAAAACAATTTTTGACTTGATGGCTGAAAATCAAAAGGAATATCGCGAATTGATGTGGAGAAAACAATTACAGAATAAAAGGGAGAAACAACCTCAAAAGGAGGATGATGTACTGATTGATTTTGACGAGCAACATACTCAACCTAAACAATTCATAAGAGGGCAAGCAGGCTTTCAATCAGGGCAACAGCAGCAGCCTGTTCGGAGAATGAATTCTCAGCAGAGTAGACAATTGGACATTGTGAGGTTGGGTGAAAACAGACAACATCGCTCTCCTCTTCCACCAAATGATCCAAGTACATTAGGAAACACAATAGCACAGTTCAATGTAGTACAAGCACCTGGAACAGAGATTTCAATAAATTCATTGCGTCAAGAGATATCAAAAATTAGGTTGCCCAGTTACTGGGGAAAGGAAGATAGCAAATCTCCTTATGAGTATCTGAGAATTATTAAAGATGAAGCAGAGAAAAGAATACCGCAAGTAAAACAGCGACAAAATAAACGTACAATAATTCAAAATATTGGACTAATTCTGATGATAAGAGTAAAAGAGCGAATGCTTTGTTCGTAGTCCTTGTATTTGAAAGTATTGTTTTAGACGAGGCGGAACCTAGACCTGATAATAATCCTGAAACATTAAATTTGTCAAAA